AGCACAACGCGCCCGTGCTATTTTTGGATCCCTGTTAATGCCTTCTGTAACCGGGATTGGGTTCCAGACCATTGCGGGGAGGAATGTAGTCTCGCTGGGGAGCGCCAGAGCGTGGCGGAGCGCCAGATGGGTGAGGTCCACCAGGCGCAGCACCAGGATAATTGTTTCCATAAGCCGCTCCGACAGGGTAAGCATGGTCGTACGAGCGTGGGGGGCTTTCCGAGCGACGCCTGGCAAACAATCTTCAATCACAAGGAATGAGGATGCCATCAGTAAACTCACTTGTATCTTCCAGGCGCGCCCTGCTCTAAAGGAACGCCACGATATTCGTCATAGCGAGCTTGTGGAGGTGGGCTAGGGGGGCGACCTCGATAATCAAATTCTCTGTGTGCACGCCTTAAGAGTCTTGTTGCTGAAAGGTCGTGTCGCATTCTTACCTGTTCGGAGGCATTCTGTCGAAATCATCTCTGTATCTCGGTGGGGTCCTCGGCCTTGCATTTCCGGGAGGTATATAACCAGGAGGGAATCTATCGCCACCAGGCCTTCGCTCGTAGCGGTCATAGAAAGGAGGTGGTGGAGGGGGCAGAGGAGGTCCACCATAGCCGCGGTAGTTGGCATCAGGAGGCGGAGGATAACGGCCTCTGTAGTCGGCAGGGGTTGGTGGGTACCGGTCTCGATCAGGCATAGGAGGTCCCCGCCTATAGTCCTCGAACTCGCGACCTCGTACACCAGGCGGCGGTGGTGCAGCATAATCCCGGTACTCCCTCGGAGAAGGGGGCCGACGGAAGTCTCGAGGTGGCGGGTAGTCATAGCGAACGTCACGGGCCGGAGGGCGCCCTATTGCCAAGTCTTCGCGCTGAGGCATATTCCTGTGGGGTGCAATAGGGTAGTCGGGCTGAATGCGGTCGATCAATGAAGATTCATACGGGCGTCTCGGGGTAGCCCTTTTATTGTGGGGATCAGCTTATGTATTGATGGGAAGACAAAGTTTGCTTACATGCCAGTGTGATTAGGGCATTCTCTGCAATGAAAACATGTGAGGTTCGACTACAGCGCCTGGGAAAAATAACCACAAACCTTGCCCAGTGGCCCATTTGCCCACACTTGAAACACGCTCCCGGATCACCTGCGTACTTGGCAGTACGACCTCCGCCCCTCGATAGTTCAACACGTATTTTGCTTCCCATGAAATAACCTTCATGATACTTGGCCACACTTTCTTCGGCTGCCTCTCGAGTGTCGAATTCCTAGATGCGTGTGTGAAAATTGGGACGGCCTATAACGAGAAAAGGGCGTACAACGAAGCCATAGCCAACTCTAGGGATATCATGTCAATCGGTATCCATTGCAAACAAGTAGACACGCACTTTAGTTCAATATTCACGATATTGCCAATTTTGCCGAAGCAGCTTTGAAGGTCCTCTTGTTGTGTGTGTTCTGGTAGACCACCAATATAGACTTTGTTCGGCTGGACAGCATAAGGTGAACACCCAGTCGAGAATACACACACAGAAGGAAACGGCAGAAGATGTTGTAATCAGCCCCGAGCCAGAGTAAGCCTCCGAAAGCACGAAAGCAACAGAGAAAATCCGAAGCGACCAAGCTAAGAATGATTAATAGTGGTTCTGGGCAGAGCGCTAGCCCAGCGTCGAATACCACACGTGGCAATATGCGAGACAAGGAAAATGTCGCGGAAGAGACATGAAGAGACAAGAAGAGACCTAAGCACCTTGACTTGCTTCTCGCGAAGTACGCCGTCTTTGCCTTCAGAGGCGCTGACCGCACTGGCGCTGGATCCGCGAGGATAATCTGGGTTTTCGGGACCCTGGCCCAAGGCTCGGTCGTCGTCAGCAGGTAAAGGCGCTCCGTTTGGAGGCTCGACGCCGCCGCCTGGGCCCATAGGCTGGTCATCTTGCGGCCCCCAGTTATCCTGCTGGTGGGTTGCTTGTTCGACATCGTTGGTTGTAGGAGCCATGACGAGATGGACGCTCACACTGAAGTTGGTCAGAAATGTTGAACAAACATCGAGACAAGCGAAATCAAATTTTTAAGCTCCGATGTAGGGTCCGTGCATTCCGGATCCAGGCCACCGATGCCACTGAGCAACGCCTGCCAGTTTACAAGTATGCAGTGATATTAAAAGAGCGTAGCAGTTGTGCTGGTAGCACACCTAGAGTCCAAACGAGTACACTACAGTTGCGTAATAGATAGGAGATAGTAGTGCATAGCAAAGTCTGTTGGTCAGTGTCTGCCTCGGTGTAGCCATTCCAGGGGTATGTCATCATTCGGTAGGAAGGAAAGAAAAACTGTGAACTGGCACAGCTGATTTTGGGAGCTCAAGCAAGAGTCCAGACAGCGCTGGCAATGCTAACGAGAGTCACCACAGTCATGCCGAAAAGAGCATTGCTGTCTCCAATGAGCCTAACAGCACCATTGCCTTTGGTCGACGGAGAAGTTGAGCCGCCAGTGTTCGAACCACCACCGGCAGTGCTCGCAGGGGCCGACGGAACGAAAGTTGCCGCGGGATTGGCAAGACATGAGCTCGCAGCAGCGTCGGCGGCGGCAGCGGTAGTAGGGGCAAGGGGGTTAACAGTGCCATTGCCAGCAAAGCTACATGCTTGCGCATTACGATCACTGAGCTGATAAAAATCGCTCATGACAAAAGACAGCTTGACGGCTATATCAGGTATCAGTACCGAAGATGAACAGTGAAGGGCTGAAGACTTACTCGGGTCACAACCAGAGAGACGGCCATAAATTCCGGTTTGTCCATTGCCACCAAGATCGTCGCAACTTCCGCCCTTCTGACCGACAAAGCTACAAGCAGTATCCAAAAGCTCACCAACGATGGCGGTGTAGTTATTCGTTGCAGGAGTGAACACGCAGCTAAGGTTGCTCGCCAAGCACTTGCAGGCGGCTTCGTTGGGAGTCGGAGGAATTGTGGTGGATGCAACGAAAGTGTCGTTGGCAGTAGGGCAGGAAGGATAAGATGCTGCGGAGCTGCCCTTTGACGGGGAGTTGGGACCGGTGGCCTGAGTATACTGAGTCTTCAGTCTGTCAAAGTCGTCGCTGGTGGTCACAGTCTTGCCATCTTGCGAGATAGTCACTATGCCGAATTGCCCTTGGGCGCTTGACGCAGGGAAGTACGAGAAGGCCACACCACCCGACCAGACTGGGGACATCTGGGTGCTGAAGATGGCAGTACTTTCAGTCCAAAGACGGGGGGGAGAGAAGATACACCCGAATTCACTGAGATAAGCAGCGACATTATAACCTGCGAAATCACCGAATGTCCCAGCGTAGGATTTCTCGAAGGACGAGTCACCACACCATGAGCTGCACGGGTTATATATGAGTTTCCTATTACCTGAACCACGTTTAATTACGTACTAATCATTCAGACCGAAGAGGTCGATGGATGTAGCATCTGAGTTGGCACCACCTAAGTCGCAAGACAGGTAGTTGGCGAGGGGGTCACGGAAGGTCGAAGCACCATTGATAGCAGCATAGCCGACAAGGACGGAGGATGACTTTGATTTCCTGAAGATCACAGGGAGTCATATGAGTGACTGCTGAAAAAAGATGGTAACTTGAGCTCACAGGTACGCCTTGACATCACGGGCTGCTGCTTTAACATAGGGCGCGACAGCCGTTCCGTTGTCGACAACGACCTCATTTCCAACGTTGAAGGCTAGGACATTGTCGTATTTGCTGAATACATCGATGGTGGTGAGGTACTGGTCGAGAAGGCTGGTAGTCCACGAGGGGACAAGTCGATCGATGGATCCATTTAGTGGGAGGGCAAGATCAATACTGATATGCATAACGTGATGAGTAAATGTGAAATGTTATAAACCATGAGGCAATTACATCGTGTAAATTCCAGCATTGCTGAAGGCGGTCATACATGCGTCGTGGTTGAGAGAGGAGTTTACGCTGTAGACACGGATGGTGTTGACACTAAGCTGCTGGAGGAAGGGTAAATCACGGGCACAGGCGTCTGGGAGAGCCAAGGGGTCGATGAAGCTTGAAGGCTCCCCGAAATTATTGTCAGCACTTGCGACGACGATTCCTGAATTTTAGTTATAAATACAAAAAAAAATAGGGCGGCGAGGATATCAAGGTCTCACCTTGTTCTTGGTATGCGACTCCCTTGATATAAAAGCGACTTCCATCGTCATTGTAAAGATATCGTCCTGAACGAGTGACCTTGGAGATGGCCTGCACGGTGCCAGTGAAAGTGGCAAACGCTGCAATAAGCGCAGCAGCCTTGAAAGTAGGGCGCATGTGCGAAAAAGGTGTCCGGGAACAAAGGGATGGATTAAGGTATTGTTAAGAAGAAAGAAGGAAAGATGGAGCAACGGCCAACAATGTCCGGTTTGAGGAGACGCAGCCGACCCTGGACTGTTGTCACCAGGCAGAAGTTACGAACCTCACAAGATTACATAAGCTAAGCAATTTCTACAGCCCACCTACTTGTACTAGCTCAAACTTGAACAATCTGATAGAGCATCGACTCTTACATTGTCTTCCTTAGGCGGGTTGGTTATATATTAGGCTTCATATGTGTGAAATTTCATTCCAAGTTCTTGGATCCAAATGTCTCACAGGCAGAGCCCTACCACAGAATGTGTGCTAGAAATACAAAATGTTTGCCTTGAACGAAGCGAGTACCCAGTGAATACGTAAGACATGATTGTCGATCCGCAGTGGGGGCGAAGCCTGCCGTGGAATGTGCGTGAAGCGCACTGTAGAGATACAAAGGTCAATCCGAACGAAGTGAGAAACTGACCTGCACTCAGCATAGAGTGAATACAAAAGGCATGACCGAACAAAGCGAGTGTCATGCCTGCACTCATTGTTGCGCCTTGCGCAACGGGATTAGGGGGCGAAGGCCCCAACGAGTAATGATGAAATCCGTGCCTTCGGCACAGTTTCGCAGGTCGTCTCCAACAAGAGTTAGGAACCTAGCAATATTGCATCAGCTCAACAACCTTCATGCCCGCCTAGCTCAATCGGATAGAGCGTCAGACTCTTAGGCGGGTTGATCTAATCTGATCGCTTACGTCATGTGAGACCATCTGAAGGCTGCGAGTTCGACCCTCGCGGTGGGCTAGAATCATTTTTTCGAGGTGAATTCGAGGGGAGGAAGGAGGAAGAACTATTGTCGCCCCCCCGAACGACTCAAGCTTTGCCTTTTGCGTCCAAGAAGTGCCAGCAAGTATCCTCTACACTCCAGTCGCGATCCAGTTATTGACGACTTTTACAGCTTGTGTTAAGGTAGAGCAAATCCATACTCATCTAATGGATGTGGCTGTGCCATGTTAAGTCAAGATTAGAGTAAAACAATTCAACGCAGCCCTATACAAAAAATCGGTAACCTTGAGAAATTTCATTTTTCCTTTCTACAAAGACTGGTGGTTTTTTTTGTGTGTCAAAGTGCCTGTGGAGGGAACAGTATACGCAGAAACGTTGCTGAAGGAAGTCTTTGATGGGACTGATCCCACGCTGCTGATGCCTCAGATTTGAGTGGTCTTTCTCTTACTACATCCGACACAGACACTTGAATAAAAATCTGAAACCACAGGCCTCTTGAAAAAGTAAAAACAAAAATTTCCAAGGTTTCAGATTTTTCAAGATAGTCCGCATTGAATTGTTTTGTTCGAATCTTCACTTAGCACGGCACAGCCACAGACATTGGATGAGTATGGATTTGTTCTACCTTAAATAACTACAGAAAAATAATAGTGTGGGCGCTGATATGACCTCACTTCCCCATCGTGTTGGAACATACTCATTTTACATCGCATCTTGCCTGATACATGGATAAATACAAATCTCTGTTACGCTATTCTAATGGTAACCAGTTGAAGGTATGGGCAACTACGTTACTATATATCGTCCTTGCTTCCAAAGTCGTTAGATATATATTGCAAATTCTTTTCGTTGATATCGATGCCCAGCATCGACTGATATTCTCGAGCTAGCCTCGCCATGTACAACAGCTAGAATGATTGCTCAGAGGTGGAGACAACAATAATGAATAAACATCAACGCACCTGATCATGTACGGCACAACGGAAACAATCAAGCACGCAAAGGCTGCCCAGGTCAGGTATAGGCCAGACCCTACAGTAACAACAATTCCTATAGGCACTGAGGAGCTCGCGGTTCCAATCAAGACGTCATTGACAGCGTCCGATTTCTTGATTATAATGGTCCAAATACTTGCTCCGATGAGGAGGAGGCCACTTCCAGAAACCGAGAATACAGTCGAAAGGAAGAATGTGAAATGTGTTTTCAAGAAGCCACTGGTGATGTAGAAGTTAGCTATGACAGACAGAGTGACATGAACAACTGACGTGAGTGTTGCTAAAAGTGCACAAATCGTGCCCAGGAGCAACATCCAGTAGGCGGCTTTGGTAGACTCTCCTAGGTATGTTGATGATTGGAAAGCGGTATCTTGCACAAGTGCTTGGGTAATCCTTGAATAGTTTGCAGCCATGTCGGATGTTATTGCATCATATGGTCGGTATTGCGCTCCAATGGTCATGTTCCCGCAGGTTCCTTGAGAAGTGTTCACGTAGGCGCAGTATGAATACAGGCCAAAGTCGTAAAAGTTTCGTAAGCCAGCCCTGACTGCAAGAGGGGCACTGGCATTCGTCGTATATATGTTTTCGAATGGGTCGGTAAACGAGCTCTGGAGGGCAGTACTGGTGCGAACAGGATCAGTGGTCAGTCACACCATCACGTAGGGATCATTGTCACCTGTAATCGGAGACATTGACCCTTGCCTATATATATGAGCTAAGGAGCGGTGCAGACGGAGATGTTGAAGTCACCATTGCTATTTTTCTAGGGACTGACGAAGTGTTGATTTGCCCAACCTAGTATAAGAGTAAGGTGCTGCATAGTTTGTGATTGATAAGGACGCACATGAACAAAGATCATAAGTAACATTGCCACCAACCTGTAAAGTGATCGGCGTCAGTTAGAAACTTGTGATAGGTTCAACTTTGCACGTACGACAGAAGGGAGGCCGCAGAGACACATATTTCACCGCGCATTTCACGAAATAAATCAGTGTGGTAGAGGGGGGAAGCAAGCTGGGGCGCGAGTAACAGCCAGCTGCGTTTAAAGAACCTCGAGGAACGACGGGACTTCAAGTTCGCGAACAAAACGCGACGAGAACGTGTTTGCTGTGGAATGTCACGGTCGGCAACCGCCGAGGCCTAATTCGGAACAGTCGCACTGCTTGAAGGTAATTACACTTGGGCCCCTTGCCTGGAGTCACTACTCTCCTCCGCCACCCATCGTTTTCCGTCTCTCCGGCTAGGATTTTGCCCAGGAATGAGCAAAATCACTAATCTACAACCTCTTTTACACATGTCGGATATTGCACCGGCTTTCGACAGTTCCCCAGAGGCTCTGGGCATCGCACCTGAGATACAATCTCAATCACCTCAGAAGGATGTGCCGCCTACACCAAGTCGCGTCAAACGACTCTCCGCGGCAGTCGAGAAATCAGTTGAGAAAACTGTCGACAAATTGAGCCGTAGTATTACTGCAAGGAGCGGACGCACGAGCCCCACAACCCCACCTCCGACGGGTCATCGTCGTTTGTTCAGCATAAGTCGGAAGGCCAAGGCCAAGGATAACTCTGGGGAAACTGAGGGTACACGTAACTCGTTCGGAATGTTTCGACCCATGACTAACACACCATCAGACTCGTTGTCTCCCGTTTCAAATGTAACCCCGAGTGCATCACGTTCCACCTCGCCGAGGCCAGTCAGTTCATCCTCTGGCGTCACGGCCCGCGAAGGATTCCCTTTCATGGCCCCATCGGAACCCGTGAAGCCCTTCCTACAAGTCGGAACTTCGACTGACGACTCTCCTTTTATCATACCTCCGGATCCGACACCTCCTACCCGACCGCCACTAATCCCTTTTCGGGGGGATGGTTCGGTACGATTTCTTACATCCGTGTCGCCTTGATCTCACAGGACCGTTACAATAGATGCGAGCAGGAACGCAGACTCTTATCCAAGCGCTGCAGGCTCTCCCATGGACCGAAGCCCCGAATGACGAAGACATCGTAGATATCGTGAGCCCCGATGCAGGCTCGAGCGACGAAGAAGAGCAACTGGGAGAACGTCTGTCCATTCTTTATCGCAGCCTTGTATGCTTCTGAATGTCTGTTTATTTTTACTCTAGTTCGCCTTGCATCTTCTATTCACGCCATCCATCGCCCATTGGCACGATCGAGACGCCTGAGTGTACCATACTCTACGCCAGGACTAGCAGCGAGCTCTCATTATGGCCCCGTGGATGAAGAGTTGGAACATGAACCTTCAGAAGAGGAGCCAGAGGTCGAAGATTTCGAAGAAACTCCGCGTCTCCCGAATTCTCCTTTTCCCAGCCCTCCATCTGAATCAGTTTCTCAAGTCAATCAGCGAAAGGATCGAACTGGGGATCTGGCGAAATCAAGGGTGAAGCCCTCCCGAGCTGGCAGCATGGCTACTATCAGACTTCAACGGAGAGCAGGTCTTGCGGAAAAGTTGAAGGAAGTATTCGAGTTGGACGCCATCGAAGAAGTTCGAGCAGGTGAGTGATTATATTTCTCTTGACGACAGGATCCTTAATAGTTTAATAGAAATGCCTTGCTGGCTGCTAAGGTCCATCTGTAAGTGGTATCATCATCTTCATAGAACATATTTTACCTTTGCATCTTAGTGTTGCAAGGCTACATGTATCTGACAAACTCGTACCTCTGTTTCTTTGCCCATATGCCATCGCGAGAGGTCAGTCGCCTCGAGAAACTTGATACTAATTCTGATCGCTGCACTAAAAGGATCAAGTACTCAAATCCGGGTCACTTAACAAGAAAGCGCAAAGGACAAAGCGATGGATTAAGCATTGGTTTGTCTTGAAAAATGACGCCCTGTCATGGTATCAATCATCTTCAGTGAGACGGAATCTGTCATGGCCTTACCCATATTGATCGCTCGATGATGACAGGATCCATACTTTCCGCATGGCATTGTGGACCTACGATATGCTATTTCTTGTGAAGCCGAAGGCGACAAGGGTTTCCGAATTCGCACCAACCAGAAGACAATAATCCTGTCTGCAGATTCTATTCCTAGTCGTGAAGAATGGGTCAAGGCAATTCGGAAAGTGATTTTCAAGTCCCAGAATATGGGGGACTGTGTCAAGGTATTTACCCCCATGTGATCCACTTTTGCTCCCTCACTTAGTTCTATCAGATCGCTATCCCATACTCCCTCATCGTCGATGTTGAGAAGTCTTCCGCTATGGACTTCAGTGAAACTATTGAGGTCAAGGTATTTGACAAGGATGAAGACTCCTCTGTTGACTCTTACTTCTTCGCCTACTTCCACGATATACCCGGAGCACTCGAACAAATCCGCGACGTCGTACGCAATTATCGACATCAACCTGAAAGATCAAGTTCTCCACAGACCGTCCTTGACACAACGCAACCGCGACATCCCGCAATCCCAGATCGGACTTCAAGTCTACCTTCAGAAACTACATCCACAAAGACGAGCTCTGTATTCCGCTTGACATCGCTACTTCGGCCCTTCCAAGATTCTCTCGGTCGGACAGCCCAGCCCAGCGTCCCGGAAGCGGAAGATTTTACTCATATCTCGCGGCGCCCAGACTCGGCGTCTTTTGTTCCAATAACAACTTCACCTCCCCCCATGGACGATTCCGAGACGCGACGCGATCAGCCTGGCAAATTATTGGCCACATCGTTAAACGAACACACGTACCCACCCTCTACTTCCGCTTCACACATTGACCCTGATCATCCTTCGTTGAGCAGAGAGAGCAGCAACTCCTGGGGAGTCGGCGTTCCCTCTTGGCTTAAAGGAACCCGCCGCGTGTTTGGTGGATCAACCTCCAGTGACCAGACAATAGTCCCTGCCGGTGTCAGAGAAATGTACTCCTCGACAGTTATTTCACCCTCATTTCCCAGCAGTCGCTCGACAATGGGCGACTTGACCTTTAGTATTCTCGAGACACCTGACATTCCAGTAGACGTTGAGACCACTGAGAAGTTCCGTGCTGCCTTCGCATATGACGAGAAA